ATGGGGTATAAGTGGTTGAGTTTGTGGAATATCACCAGATAGTAACGTAAGTTCGCCACCAAAGAGCTGTTTATTTCCTCTAAAACCTTTAAGTGTATGTAGAACGTTTCAATGGATTTTTTTGTACGCCATAGTCCCATTCGTCCCATGAAATGAGTTGATATTATTGGAATACGTTATAATTCCAGAATTTTTTTTTTTAAATTGCATTTTGGTGTCTCAGTGATTTGCATATTCAACGGAAATTTCAGTGATGAATTACGCTGTTTGGCCATCATCAAAAGAGTTGCTGCAATTCCAGTTAATGCGATTGCCAGTGCAATATTTTGTGGTGATTGTATTGGTGCCAAAATAAGTAAAATTAGAAACGTTTTGCCTCTGCCCTGGGAGCATCCAGGAAATACGATCCGCCACTTTAACTGTTAAACTCATGCATAATTATGTCATACATTAGGCGTTACTCTGGAAATAACTTCGGAACATTTGTTTGAGCAAATGCACCGGATTTATTGATATCAAAGGGTGTTTTTCGCTGAAAATCATGACGGAAAAGGTTTTTTGCAGATCGATTTGGAGCAGTCATTCCCAAATGGACAAGTGGTTTTTTTAAAGATTGCCAAAAATATCGTCACTTTAAAATAACAATGTTTTATGTGACCTTTTTGCCAAACCGAGATATTCGCGTTTGAAAATTTGATGTTTGGTTTGGATCAATTAAAAAAACGTTTTTATCGAAGTTGTTGCTGTTTGATGTTGATATTATCAATACAAGGTTTGATCATTAAAATGAAGGATCTAGGTATTGATAATGATTTTATATATTTTTTTGAAATTTTCTATAGAAACTTGTAATTCTGAAAATGCTATTTCACTTTAGAATAACATGGTTCTATTTATTTAACTCTATGATTTAAGCAGTTCCTTTCAAGAATAAATACATATGCAGTATTTAGATCACAAATACTAACAAGACAAAATCATTTAACAATAATATTTAAAGTAAAGACAGAAAATATTTCCTTGAATAATGTATATAGTTTCTTTGTATTAATTTATTATTACAAACTCAAACATAAACATTAATCAGACATGGTTTACACATGTTTCTGCATTATTTTCATTCGAAACCAGTAACCATACTAAAACAAGTTACATAATTATGTTTCTTTAATATTGCCTGTCTAACTCAGGCATGAACTTGATCGCGTCTCTAAAATATGTATTCTTAGCTTCAGACATTTTATTAGATGACATTGCTAAGTTTTGCTACCTTTGGTGAGGCAAAAATACTTGCATTGATTTAATTGGGACACAACTTCAAGTGCTTTTAGGTTTTCTTATATTGATGTTTTCAAATGTTATGTCCTTATGGCTAACTCTACAACCAACCAATGACTCATTTGTAAATTTCATTACTCGGTACACAAACTTTGGAATATTTTACACTCTGGTATAGTATTGAAACTTATCAATCAGTACTTCAGTGCACGTTTTAAAATCGTTGATGTCATTTGGCCTCAATGCTTCATCTGTATGATTGTATAAGGTTTTTTCCTGTTTACAGATTTTAAGGACTCTTATTAGACTTAGTAGTGAAAACACTTAACATGGCAATGGATAATATTAGCATTGCTATCAGTATCATATTCGCTTGACGAGTAGCTTAAAAAAAAACTATTTGCTAGTGATAATATTATGTAAAATGATTTAAACAAAGCAGGGTTAAATGATATAATTTCTACATGTTGGGATCTTCCTTCTTTTCATATGAATAACTCCCCAAACAGGTACGTTTATTGAGTGCAGTATAATTTCATTTTGTATAGGGGTTTTATTACTTTATAACGCAGAAACTCCAATGATTTCGATACTACCAAAGTTCAATAACTTCGTTGTCTAGGGGGTTGTTTAGTTACTTGAAAAACCATCAATTCACTTTAAACACAGCCCCAAACTTCTAACACTGCGTTATAGAATTATTCCATCATTGCTATACGAAACTATAACACATTCATAACGTCTTTTCCAATTCTCAAATACGTCGAAAAATTAAAGCTTATGAAAAAACACTCTGTAAACTAAATATGCAAGAACGTGTTTTCTCTGCTTTTACTACAAATTTGCAGTCATTGGTTGGCATTTGTTCAAGTGCGTTTATGAATATTTTTTTTAAAATTCTGTTGAAAGCGCTGTTTAAAATTATATTGATTAATCTCATTTTTTTTTTAAAAAACGATATTTTAGGCCCCGGTCTAAACGAAATATTTTAAAATGATTGCACTATTTCAGAAACCTATTGACGACTTATGATGTAAAAGACAAAGTGAAATATTGATGTTTAAATTCCATCCACCCATGCAATAGCTCTGTTTGCTATTATATTGAAAGAGCACATGTAACAAAGAAACGAATTTAAGGCGCCGGGCCCGAAACGGAATATTTTGAAATGGTTGTAATAATTTAGAAACCCTTGCTGGCGTGCGAAGAACAACTCACAAAAGTTTTAGTCATCAGATGAATGTCATTATTATATCTCTGATTATTGACCCCTTTCTGTCCTAGAACTCGCTATCTATCCCGTGATGCAAATATGTTATATTTCTCTTTTAAATAAATGATTCATGCTAAGCACATCCAGGTCAGAACCACTGTCATGTAAGAATTTTTTGGGTTTGTTAGTGCAAGCATGATGTAAGATCTTCTTTTGCCCTACTTTATTCTGTAATCAAGATCTTACAAATAAGTTTCTCTGCTTTCACTACCATTGTTAAAAAGGCAATAAACATATTGAATTGAATCAAACTAAATCTTGTCTTCATTCATTTCATCTTAATCTTCTTGTTTGTTTGTTTTTTACTTTGAATGTTTTATATTTAAACTAGCAAAATACCCGCGTTTCGCAGCAGAGAGACTTTTTTAAAATAAAAGGGTAAGAAATTATCAAGTATCCGCATATTCCGGAGACTGTACAATGCATTCCCTTGCGAAAATCAATCCTGTCTCAAATCAATGCCAACTATTTGTAGGATCTGTCCTTGGGACCCCCCCTCCCCCCAACCCAAATCCTCGTAAGACCCCAATAGTGATGAGTCACCAATCCCATTCTGAACCCGACCAACTACTTGTACCATCTTTCCCTGGGCCCCCCCCCCCCCCCAACCCAAATCCTCGTAAGACCCCAATAGTGATGAGTCACCAATCCCATTCTGAACCCGATCCCGGCGCAATCGCTTTTCCCGGTGTGATGCCGTTTCCGGTGGGATCCTATTTTCTTGTGGCTCTGGATCCAGGGGGAATCTAGATCCCGTTTGGATCCCGATCCCAATGGTGTCTTGATCCTAGTGGCATCCCGATCTCAGTGGATCCCGAGGGGCTACCGATCTCGTTAGGATACCGTTCTCTGCAGGATCTCGTTCCACCTGGGAACTTTCTTTTCCGATGTTATCCCATTTCCTGATAGGATCCTGATCCCGGATTTGTCCCGTTACACGATGGGATCTCCATGGTATCCTGTTCCCATATGGGATCGCGTAACCGATGCGTCCCATTAGGATCCTGTTTCTCTATGGGATCATGCTCAGTGCGATTTTGTTTGAATAAGCTTTTAGATCTAATTATATATCCCCGCAGAACAATATAGAAAATTCAAGAACATTCTAGATTAAATTTAATATCCTCCATGAAACGTGTAAAAAATTACTTTTCTACGTAAATATTTCTCGAATGCGAAATTTTATACAACTAAATTTTACTACTATAACTATCGTACCGGTACATTTAAATTGATATAGGGGCCCATTTAATAAAGTAACGTTTTAGTTATGTCTGAGATGGGGGGGGGGCTGTGAAAATCATTCAGATTAATTATTGATTTAAAATTTGTCCTATTAAAATTGGTTTTAAAATGCCATAGATATATTAGTTTTAAATCCACCAATATTTTAATACGGACAAAGAAGGGTATTGCTACAACGCTAGGACTAGATCCACCTATTCACATAGAACCCATAGTGTTGTCTAACCCTATTGATATTTATATAGCTTATATAAGAAAAATTCGGTATTTGAATATGGGTAATAAAGAGTGTGTGTACTAAGTTTGGTCAAGATCCATCTATTCATGCAGGAGTACTAAGCCTTTTTATATTTATATGTATGGAAAAATGAAATAGGGCCCCCGGCCCCAGAGGGATGGATATTATGTGTTAAGTACCCTTCGGTATTTAAATATGGATAATCAAATGTATTTATATTAAGTTTGGTCAGATCCATCTATCCATGTAGCAGTATTTGTTGATCATATTATTTACATGGTTCTTATAGGGAAAAACGACATTTTGAGCCCCCGGCCCCAAACGGTGTACAGTTTCGAAATGAAACCTGCTTAAAGTTTGTAAGTAGCCTGTAAAGAATAAGCCTGCTAAATTTCGGGCTTCTCTCTACGGGGTAAGATGAAGAATTAGTGATGAGTGAGTGAGGGCTTTGCCTTTTATTAGTATAGTATTTGTTGTTTATCTTATAGCTCATATAGGAAAAAACGACATTTTTGGGCTCCCGGCCCCAAACGGTATAGAGATTCGAAATGAAACCTGCTTAACATTTGTAAGTAAGCTGTAAGGAATAAGTCTACTAAATTTCAGGCTTCTACCTACAAGGAAAGTTGGAGAATTAGTGATGAGTCAGGGAGGTATGGCTTCCCCTTTCATTAGTATAGATACTACCAATTTGCAATTTATCTGCTTGTAATAATTTTCATGATGTTCAAATAGTTAATTTAAGTGAAAAAAAGTCTGATGTTTAATCCTGTCAGCGTGACCGTCGTTATGACAGTCAACGTGATAGTCAGTGTGAGTCAACGTGACAGTTGCATGGGAGGCAACCTGACAGTCAGCGTGAAAGGTCGGCGTGACAAAGGTTTCAAGGCTATTGTGTCACGGGAACAAAAGGTTGTGCTAAGATTGTTGCTTGGTTAGTTCGTTTGATATTTCTTTAGTTTGTTTCTTGTTAACGTTAAAAAGTTCATGTAAATATCGCTTGTATCTGGAACTCATCACGTAGTAAAGTATTATATCCACACTCGCGTTGAGACCCTCGAGCAGAAAACCAAAGGACCAGATCAAGAAAAATAGATCGGTGTTTTCCCCAGTGATGCCGAACCCAGGCACGAAGAAGCTGACCGTAACAATAAAAACAGAGGTGGCGCTGCAGAAGATGAAAACAATGGCGATAGCTATGACCATGTTAATGGTCTTCCTGTCACGTGACGAGATCTTCTCCGATTGCGTCGCGTCGAAGGTGGATTTCTGACGCCATTTTGTTTTCTGTTTCAGCTTGTAGATCAAAACTCCCGTCAGGAATATGAGAGGGAAATAGGCCAGGAATATGTAGATAAAGTAAATTGTGGACGTCCATTCTTCGAACTGAGGTCTGTCATCCGCAAACTTTAAACCAAATAGAGTTCGGTTTGCCCCTTCGACAAATTTCCAATCCAAATACGCAGTGCTGTACTCGGGGATCAATGGAAGCGTTGTGATGACGTAAATGAATCCGATCACAATCCTGGCTCGTTTCGGCGTCAGGATTTTCTTAACTGTCAGTGGCGCAATGACACACAGGCATCTCTCGGCCGTGATGAACACGGTGATCCAATTAGTGATGCGGACAAAGCACGCTCGGGGCCAACCCGCGGTCAGCACTTGGACCTCTGAGGGAATGATGGTCACGTCATGGTCTTCGAACACGCGACTGGCACAGATGGCATACCACAGCAGCGTGATCAGGCAACAGAGATCGGAGATTGCCAGCCCGGTTAGAGTGATGTTGACGGTGTTGTTGAGACCCTGTCTATAAAAGACTATGATGTTGATGACGTTGGCGATGATACCTATAACAGCAACGATGCTGCATAGAATGACTACGTTGATTAGCTCAAAGTAATACCTGATCTCGTGTAACAAGTTCCTCTGACGAGAGGGAATGTCTTTGGCGTCATCTAGCAACGTTACGCTTATATCTGGGTCATCCATTTTCTTTTATCGGTTTACCGAAAGAACAGAATCAGTAGATCATAAATGGTTTGCCTGGAAAAACAGCTTTAAGGCTTTGCGATTGTAACAATAACACCAATAACTGATTTACATGGTAACTTCAACTAAGGATGAATGACAGTTCTTGGCGTTGAACAATGATACGTGACTGTTCGTGGCATTGAACGGTGATACGTGACAATTCTTGGCGTTGAACGGTGATACGTGACAATTCTTGGCGTTGAACGGTGATACGTGACAATTCTTGGCGTTGAACAATGATACGTGACTGTTCGTAGCGTTGAACAATGATACGTGACTGTTCGTAGCGTTGAACAATGATACGTGACTGTTCGTAGCGTTGAACAATGATACGTGACTGTTCGTAGCGTTGAACAATGATACGTGACAGTTCTTGGCATTGAACAATGATACGTCACAGTTCTTGGCGTTGAACAGGGATACGTGACAGATATTGGCGTTGAACAGTGATACGTGACAGTTCTTGGCGTTGAACAATGATACGTGAGATATCTAGGCGTTGGAAAGATTCATTTAAATCTCCTTTCTCTGTAACATTTTTTTCTTTAATATCTTATACGATTTTGCGCATGAACAAAATAGGTTCCTTTCGAGAAGTGCAATATTCTCTTCTTCTTTCAGTATTTAATAAATTCATGAAAATTATGGCAAAATTTTTTGAACATATTTTAATCATTCAAAATGAACCAAATCTACCAGTAAAACAAACGCTTTTCAAAGTTCACGATCACTTTCTTTAGTACGGGTAATTTGCACCTTCTTGTTCAGGAACAAAATTATAAAATTGATAAACTGTAAGGTTTAATTAAGTGAGCTATAAAATACATAGTATGCGACTCCCAAGAGTATTTATCAGCCTTGCAATCCCCTCCCCAGGCCAATTATCAGACCCTCATGTTAGACTCAGATTACTCCCACTAAATACGCCAAATGCACACTCCTTTCAATTACACTTGTTCACACATCATTCACCTATATGCACACGTTTCGTGTTGGTAACCACAACGGTGTGTACAGGTTATTTAAAGACCCGGGTAATTATATCACTTGTGTGTGATTAAATGGGTGGAGGAACTGATGAATAAAATACATACATTACAAAAGTAGCATCAGTTCATGTCAGTTAAATGTCAGCTTTTCTTGTCATTGTGACTCACGGCCACTTTCTTTATAACCATGTGACACGAAACCATTAGGGTCACTGAACTGCTTTGATTATTGCGTTTAAACACAATGAACTGACTTTAAAAAAAATCTATGTTTAAACACAATGATTTTATTGGAAAATCGTTTATCTCATTTGAGTTTTCAAAGATGAACGTAAAGCTATAAAACCAGGCTGAGCAGTGGTTAAGCGTTCGATGTTGTAGCTGACCTTATAATGATAACGTCTACCAAAGTTCGAATGCAAGTGTTGTTGTCCTGATTCTTGATAGAAATAAAAAATCATAGGTTCAATCTAGTTTTTATTATTTTTTTATAATGATATTTGCAAAGCGGATATTGTAACGGCGTGGCTTAAATAATGTTGCAAAGGAATGTTGAAAAGGAATGTTGAAAAGGAATGTTGAAAAGGAATGTTGAAAAAGAATTCATTGTTTTTTTTTTCATAACAAACTACAACACAATGTAACCAACATTTATCATTTCAACATTTGACCTAAATTGGTTAAATGGTCTTGCAACAATTCTTAACAGTACTAGAAATAACCCACCAAACAATGACGGCGGAAAGTCGTCAACTTCCCTTCTACTAAAGTTACTTGACAAAACTTGCATTTAAGCAACGCACTCGATAAGATTTTCAACTAGGGCCAACTCCTGGGCATTTTATTTTTACGTGCCACTTCAACACAGGGATGCAGCCATACATATCTTCTTATAGATTAATAATTTGTGAAGAGTATGTTCTTGAATGGCATATAAAACAATCTTAACGATCTTATCATTCATCTAACACGCCATATTGTTTGTGTTGAACCGTTACATCAGGAAGCAAGTATCGACTAAAATGGCAATACTACTATTTGTCATACATTATTGTGACTCTTGTAGAGTTTACTTAGATCATATCTATGTTCACTGTACCTTCAATATACTGGGATTTTATGTTTTCACGTACGCTATTTTGATGGTCTTCCTGATGTGTTGGTAGGTTAACACAGCAACGGCATTCATTGGCCATAATAAAACTTACCTTAATTCCATAATAACTCTGTCAATCAAATTGGACATGAACAACCAATCAACAAATATGACATGACCAACCAATCAATAAATATAACATGAACAACCAATCAAAAAATATGACATCACCAACCAATAAACAAATATAACATGAACAACCAATCAAAAATATGACATAACCAACCAATCAAAACATATAACATGAACAACCAATCAACAAATATGTCATGAACAACCAATCCAAAAATATGACATGAATAGCCAATCAACAAATGTAACATGACCAACCAATCAACAAATATGACATGAGCAACCAATCAACAAATATGACATGACCAACCAATCAACAAATATGACATAACAACAAATCAACAAATATAACATGAACAACCAATCAACAAATATAACATGAACAACCAATCAAACAAAAATGACATGACCAACCAATCAAAAAAAATGACATGACCAACCAATAAACAAATATGACATGACCAACCAATCAACAAAAATGACATGACCAACCAATCAACAAATATGACATGACCAACCAATCAACAAATATAACATGAACAACCAATCAAACAAATATGACATGACCAACCAATCAACAAATATGACATGAGCAGCCAATCAACAAATATGACAGGCCCACCAATCAACAAATATGACATGAACAACCAATCAACAAATATAACATGAACAACCAATCAACACAAATGACGCGCATCCTGCAAGAATTACTCTTCTTGATACTGATTGATTAAACAGTTTTACTCTAAAAGATATAGTTCATGTTAAAATCCACACAAACTCATATAATGTTGCAACTAACGTGTTTGACAATGAATGTTAATTAGAGTGCATTGTGTAGATTTCTTTTCTCCAAATTAAATAACACTAGAAGCTGCTACATAATCAATTGTGTCGAAATTTAAGACATTTAAACTCCAATAATGTTTATTTAAAAATCGAATAAAAAGTGCATAGTGAAGATGTCGCTGCATAGAATCATTTATCAAAATCAATGTAGCATATTTGTTGTTATAACGTTTATCTCTGGTCTTCATTTGTTTTAAAGATATGTCGTCGAATTTTTTCACTTTATTTTTTTTAAACATTTTATAATAATTGACCCTTTTCCGGTCAACCTACCGAGCTGAAACTTGGCATATAGACTCGTTGCCAATGATAAAATATTTTTTGAAAATTTCAAACCCACACCCAACTCAAATCCCCAGATATATCATTCCAGTTTTTCCAAGGGGAAGATGGGGGAAATTTGATGCCACTGATTTTGAAAAATAAAATTCCCGATAACTGCACTAAAGGGCATTCTTTAAAGCAAAATTTGCAAGTGCGTTTGGTGCGTTACATTTCCTTTTGTTTGTATGAAATATTGAGTGAAATAAATCTGCGGTTTATAAGCGGATGGGTCATTAGAATATTAATATATTTCAGGGGCGTGAAAAAATGTGTGGTTGTGAGCAATGTTCCCTTTAAGCTGCGCGGCTGTGCGGCCGCGCAGCTATCTCACAGATGCCGCGCAGCAGTTTTGACTATCCGCGCAACAAATTTCCATTTAAGTGTTGTTTTTTTTTGTGGGCTGTAAAATTTTGCACACAAAAAGATTGATGCTGTAAAACTTTGCACACAACTGTATGATTTTGCACATGAGCCAAAAAATTAGCTAACAGATTGAGATCCTGTTGTAGCTGGTCCTGGTCCGATCTGTTGGCGATCGTCCTATACACTGCAGTGTCATCTGCGAACTATTCATATAAAGGGCGCTGCGTGTATGCAATTTTTGTCACATGTTCAGCACCCCACCCCAATTTCTTGATATTATATTTTATAAAGGATATATAAAAAGAAAATTGGTTTTATGAGTTGTTAAATTTCTTTTCAAAACGCTAGCATAAAGTTTTTGAACATTTTATTTAAGACTTAAAGCTATGCCCTACTTTCGTAGACGTGTTTTTCATCCTTTTAAATCTTTCCCGCTCTATTTTAATGATTTTTTTTAATTAGAGTAGCAGTGAACAAAGGATGTACTGTAACACACCGTTATAGTTTTTTTTATTTTTAATATGCTGGAGGTAAATCATACTGTGCCATATATATATATATATATATATTTTTAAGGGCCATAACAAATCAAACAATTCGTAACTAACATAACATCAGCTTATTTCCCTTTCCTATTCTTTTTAAAATCAAATATTTTTATAGAAACTATTTTTCGGAAAAACTTTTAGATTTAAGAAGTTGATGTGAAGTTAAATTTTTAGGCAACAAAAAAATAACGTTACCTTTCAGAAAAATTAATAAAGCAGTCAAACCAAGGTATAAATACTTCATGCCATAGGAATGTAACATTTTTAGCAATAACAATGTAAACACAAGACGACTAAAAAATTTTTTTCTTTTAAATCGCAAAAATTAGCCGTCGTCTACCATACGTATAACTAACATAAGAGATATGCTACTTAACATCAATAAAGCTCACAACGGAGCTCACGACAGAGCTTAACTCTTTGGTCATCCACTGGTTTAAAGTATTACATGACGATCTTCTTTTAATATCAAAACAACATGCTATCGCAACCTGTCATGTTTCGATACAGTTTTTTGTTATGTTTTATCTTAGCAACACAGGTTTTCATTGGCTGCTGTCTTCAGACTTTGTTCTTAATGTGATTTTCATGGCTGCTGTCTTCAGACTTAGATCTTAAGGTGATGGTCAATGGATGTTGTCTTCATACTTTCTTCTTAAGGTGATTTTCCTTGGCTGCTGTCTTCAAACTTAGTTCTTAATGTGATGTTTATTGGCTGCTGTCTTCAGACTTTGTTCTTGAAGGACTTTCTTTACTCGGGGTTCACCTCCATCCTATGCACAGCTCATTTTCTGGGTGGACGAGTCCAATCCAAGCCTCTACGTACCCGCACCTTGGGAAGACATACCTTTGATAAATTCATCACTTGGTGACAATGTCAAACAGTTTTTACCAGTAAACCCGAGGGGGGATTAGGGGGGGGGGACACATTTTAAGATATCCGATCACAAACATAAATTTTTATATTGAAATGTTTTGTGACAAAACATGTCTCGTGAAAACTATTCATTTGTATTTTGTTAACTGTGTGATTTTTTTAATAATAAATGACATTTCCAAGATGTATGTGATTTTTATTTATGAATACTATAACTATAATGTTTGAAAGAGTTTAAAATTCGTATTCTTTTGTTACGAATAACACTCATGCAAACAATGGTGATATGGGGAGAGACTACAATCAGGTTAGCAAAAAAAAAAAGGGAAATTTGTAAAACACAGTATTGGAAAGCTTGAAGAATAGGAACGCAACATAACAACAAACGTGTCGGCAGGAAGTCTTCGTCAACGAACAAACAACTTTAAAAATATTGTTATGTAGTATATTTTTCCCGTGCTTGAACTTTGTTTCCTAGCAGAAGGTAGCGTTTCTTGTGGGCGTGGCTTAGTCTTCGATGTATCATGTTTACTACCACCCACTAATTAAACATGGGTAGTATGTCTCCTAGTATCTTGTCGAACATTCGCAATTTGTTCTAGAAACGTAAACAAATGCTGAGTAGCTTCTGGAAGGCAGGGCTTACGCTGCATATATAAAGAGATTCAGACGGAGATTGAGATAGGCGGAGATAGATATTATTAAATTTACGAGACAATTGTATTATTCTTTGTGTGCTCATAGGTGTTTATTCGCATTCATCATTCATTCATCATTATTAATTGGCACATTGTACTAATTGTGTACCGGTACAAGATTTTCCGATACTCTGTAAGTTGATGATTTGTAATTATATTTCTTTTGTTTTGTAATTGTATTATTACTAAATTAAATCGTATTAATTGTTATTTGAACTGTTTGGAGTGTCGTAATTATGTTATTGTTTTTCTCTATGGTATCGTCCTTTGTTAGGCACTGTTTGAACGAGCCATAACTAACAGATTAATTTCTAACAAGAGAAGCCTGTGCGTAACAACATATTTAAATAAAAATGGCAATTAGATGAAAAGTATTACATGAGAGGGCAGTCAAAGGATTATATGAATTGTTGGTAAGTCTTAGTGAGAAAAGTTGTGATAATATGTGAACTGTTGGTAGGTCTTATTGAGAAATGTTGTGGTAAATATGTTTGTATTATTCAAAGTCATCTCAATATCAATTTAAACTTTATTATTAAGATACAAAAAGTTTGTATTAGATCAAAACAATTTTAAAATAATATGAATCATATACAGATAATATTTACAAACACATACAATTTCATTCAGTTTTATTAAATGGGAGACAATCCAACAGAAAACCTTGTCAGGGTTTTTTTCATTCCCTTTTATTCAATACAAACAAATTTGGATTGATGTCATCTTAACTGAAGAAAATGTATATCTGCATTGACATGAGAATAAATCGTTGAACGTCTTCCTGTATTTTGAACTCATCTTGTAGTAAATGAAAATGTTGACACTGGCATTGATGACACCCAGCAAATATCCGATGGACCAAGTGGCATGGAAAACATTGACTTGTCTTCCAGCCACGCTGAAATCTGGCACAAAGGTTGAGACCAGCGAGAGAACGACTGTCGGTGTGTAGCATACCACCATGACACCGGCAACGAGAACAACAAGATCAACGGTTTTTCGGTCTCGATTTGAAATAGCCTCGTTCTGACTTACCTTGCTCGTGACAACCGCTCGCCATTTTGAGCTCCTCCTAAGCTGTATGACGAGTATCGAGGTGAATAGGATGACGACGGTGAGAGCGAGCACGATGAGCAATGCGTGGATGGTGAATACCACGCCTTGAGTCGCAGGACGGCTGCTGCCAAAAGCAAGGCTCAGCATTGTTCTATTCCTGGCCGGGTTAAACCTCCAGTCAAGATACACGGACGCGTATTCCGGAACAAGTCCGAGCGCGTTGATGACGCCAATGACGACAAGAGCGGCAACCGCTCGACGCGGGGTGACCCACCTTTTAATCTTGAGGGGCACTGCTAGGCACAAAGAACGCTCTGCTGTGATGTAGGCAGTGATGAACATGGTGATCCTGTTAGCGCAGCCCGTGGGCCAGCCTGCGGTCAAATACTGGATATCCGTGAACACTATCGGTACGTTCAGTTGATCGATGTACGGATTCGAACATATGTTCAGCCACTGTACAGTGAGGATTCTCAACAGATCGGAAATGGACAACGCGAAGAGGCTTATGTTCATGGAATTATTCAGACCTTGTTTAACAAAGACGGCCATGTTGATGACGTTGGCCACAATCCCAAATAGGCCAATTAAAGTACATAGAATAATTCGATTCACGAACACAAAGATGAACTTTTCAAAGTTGGTGAACAATTCGGTTTGAACTGTGAACCATTGCTGAACAGAGCCTGTGCTATTGATCAACGCAGCTAGACTATCTATCTCAGGAATTGGTTGAACTTGAGGGTTGTTTAAGCCATTCATTGTTATATTCGGCAAGAAAATAATATAGTTGAGTGGGTTGGGGAGTGTTTAGTCATGAAGAAAACTCTCCATCATTTTGTAATACATCTGTGTAACGCTCGTTTGCTTGTTGGATTGGTTGATTCATTGATTGATAGTTTAACATTTTTCTTTAACTCAAAAATATAGATACATAGTTATTCACCTCGCTACTCTAACTGAAAGTTAATGTATACCCCCATGTAAACTTTTGGTGGAGGACAACTATGTGCCAGATATCTTGTGTCTTGGAAGCAATGCCATCACGAGTGTCGAATGTGAACAGAGTCCCAATCCTCTTAAAAGCGAAGCAGGGGTGGCTTCTGAATGGTGGCCATTGGGAGCATTGACATCTAATCTAATGATCTCCCTACCAGTCGTTCCAAATTTGTTTAAGTTATTTTGTTTCTGTTAGTTGAACTCCAGAAGACGTGCATGAGATTATAAGCTGGAAGTTGTTCAAACTGAATCCCTACGGTGCCAGACGAGACCTTTCTTGATTGCTTTATTCAATCGCTAGTGGTCGAGACCTTTCTTGATTGTTTTATTCAATAGCTAGTGGTCGAGACCTTTCTTGATTGTTGTTTCAAGCGTTAGTAGACACGACGTTACTTGATTGTTGTTTCAATCGCTGGTGGTTGACACGTTTCTTGATTGTTGTTTCAATCGTTAGTGGGCGAGACATTTCTTGATTGTTGCTTCAAGCGTTAGACAAGACGTTTCTTGATTGTTGTTTCAAGCGTTAGTAGACGAGGATAGCTGCATCAAAAAAAATGAACATATTTTTGCCATGTCTATCATAAAGTTTTGTTTTGGGTTCCTTGTTAAATGTCTTATTATTACTGGGGAGAATCTAGAAACGAAAATGTCTTTTCCTTAAAGATGTGTGTATGAATATTTGCATAGATTGAATGATTTAGAAGATCAAATGTCTTTTCCTTAAAGATGTATGTATGAATTTTTGCATAGATTGAATGATTTAGAAGATCAAATGTCTTTTCCTTAAAGATGTATGTATGAATATTTGCATAGATTGAATGATTTAGAAGATCAAATGTCTTTTCCTTAAAGATGTATGTATGAATTTTTGCATAGATTGAATGATTTAGAAGATCAAATGTCTTTTCCTTAAAGATGTATGTATGAATATTTGCATAGATTGAATGATTTAGAAGATCAAATGCCATTTTTAGACATTTTGTGAAACCTTGAATCTTTTTTAGTTTCAAATCCAAAAACTATTTAAATATTGAAAGATAATATAATCAGATTTAAATTGTCCTGAAAATAGCCTTAAATAATGCATGCTCCACAAACTAAACATTTTTTGTAAATAAAAAGAAGAAAATAACAATTTTGTTGAATCAAGTTACCGAATTGTCTCTACTCGAGTCTTCAGGAGAATTTACCACTGTTAAATTTAGCAAGTAGAACAAGGCATGTGGAAATTTAAATCAAAAGACGGGAAGTGTGATGTGAACGTTTCGGCTAAGAACCTTCCTCAGCAAACGGGATAAATGAAAATACGACCAGTAATAAAACACAGTTAACGAACGTAAGTGATCGCCAACAACACTGGTGACTATTTGTCCTATTTGCCGGGGAAGCCTCTTAGCCGAAACATTCACATCTTACCGTCCTGTTTTTATACTCAAGCATCCACGTACCTTGTTCGACCATTTCATCCACACAGCTTGAACGCAGTCCTTCATGTATTATCCTTAAATTGAGCACAATGGAAGTGAATCATTTGTTTTTTAAATTAATATCAAGACGCACAGATCTATTTTCAAATCTCTTAATTAATGCAATGGAAAGGGAATTTATTTCGTAGAGGAAATTATTTTGCTAATTGTTTGAAGTCTCATTTCAATTGAGGCCCATGATAGATTTAAGTTGAGCAACATAGGGGTCGCGACCCACAGGTTGAGAACCGCTGCTCTAGAGCCTAGACTCTGAACTCTAATAAATTATTTTACTTGAGAAAATCAACTGATAGAGTAAAAAATATTATTATTATAATCCATCAATCGTAACCATGCACTGATTTAACTCATGGACCAAATAGCCTTGAGCTCAGAGTTGCCCTAAGCTCTATGAAATATCCAGCCGCTATTGGTTTATGTATTTTCACTCTATTTAAATATTTAAATGACGGTATTTGCGTTGATTGCTTGAAATCACTCCTTCACATCAAAATGACGGCATTTCTGCAAATAAACTTGCTACTCTAGATAGCTACGTTTTAACAGTGTAAAAATAAATCTGCAAATTTAAGAAATGGCTGTTTGATTTGTTTAACTTTAAAAATAACTGGTGTCTAAATATAAATAAGGTTCCATAAACTCATCTTGCATCACGTGAGATGGATTCAGTCGTGTTACTTTCAGTTATACAACGCAATTAGCTTATGAAATTATTTTCTAAAATTGCTGGGTAGTTTAAATGTATTGAACGGGTCTGATGTACCACGGCCCCAGGGCGACACTCTCGTGACTTGCTTATCACCTGGGTATGTTTGTGAATTAATTGGATATCGATCCCTTATGGGCTGGAGATCAATACTCTCTTCGCTTATTTAATTTTAAAAAAACAACCAAAAACATATGGGAAAAGTTTTTTTATGACTTACTTTAAATATATGTTATTATTAGATGACCTATTTTAAAACTGCCTGGGTGCTCATTTCCTTATTCTGTGTACTAAACCTTCGCCAGTTCTCCAAGTGATCGTCACTAGGGTAGAGGCTATTTACTGAACTTTGTTGTGTAATACGTGGCGTTTATGGACTTGAAGACAACATGAAACATGTGTCAGTCAACATTTTATTCTAAAACAAAAGGAGACAAAAACAACGTGAGTTTTAGTGTACGTCTAAACAATGTAGTTGACCTGTGTATTGAACTCCATGGAGTTTTTATAAAGATATTGCAAATATTTTTTCTTAGGCTTGTTTCTTTGCGCAGATTATTTATAATTGCAGACAGTGTCAGCAAACAAATGGCCGAAGTAACGTACACAATTGATTTACAAGTAGGATTTTTTGTTGACATTTCACAGTAGATCTGTGTTCTAGATTTCAAGTGGGACAAAACAAATGACAGAATCCTTAAATGCCTTTAGAGAATGGAGTCAGTTATTATTTCTGTTTTAAATCTATGAATATCATTTGCCCCGAACAAGTAAATTGATGAATCAAATCTCTGCTTACCTCTGTGTGAAAAATTAATTACATTTTTGAGTAAAGGAAAGAGATATCATTCATGAACATAGTTTGTAATTTCGGGTTAAGAACAATCTGAAAAAAAAATGCATTTCGTTTAGTATAGATTCATTCGAGCCATCTTTGAAGAACACGAATTGATTTTTTGAAATACAATTATAGCAATAGTATTTTAGTGGAAGAAATTATTAATGATAGAATTGATTAAGCCAACAATAACATTTTAGTTGTTCTTTTTTTTAACCCCATACGATAACTGTTCTGTGATTGTTTCACTTGTATGTTTTCATGTTAATGTTTTTGAATCATACGTAGTATTTAAAGATTCCATAATAAGATTCAAAATATGGTTAAGATTAAACATCGTATTTTTATTGATTTCTTCTCAACCAAAATTATTTAATTAATATCGCCAAACCAAAACATCTTATGTCACTCATGTAACAATATAATATTTTTTTATTCAAGATAAGTAATAAATGTCCTACTTTATAATTATTTTAAGAAACAGATATTTTACCAAACTATATTCTACTACGTCTGGTGAAGCCGTCTATTTGTCTGCAATAACACACTCGTATCGCCCCGATATGGCAGAATATAATCAAATGTAATCGAATACGTCAGTTGATCCCATCTATTAGTCTGTAATAAAACACTTACTCGTATCGTCCCGATATGGGAAAATATAATCAAATGTAATCGATTACGTCAGGTGATCGTTAGATGTGTGAACTGCAATTACGTTGAAGGTGGAAGTCTAATTATCGTTTGTGAAATGTGGTTGTTTAAATAAAAAAAATTGCTTCGTTATGTAATCGATTACCATAGGTGATGGGTGACTGAATTACTACCACTGGTGATGGGTGACTGAATCACTACAACTGGTGATGAGTAACTGAATCACTACCACTTGTGATGGGTGACTGAATCACTACCACTTGTGATGGGTAACTGAATCACTACCACTTGTGATGGGTGACTGAAATACTGCCACTGGTGATGGATGAGTAAATCCCTATCACTGGTGATGGAGGACTGAATCACTAACACTGGCGATGGATTACTGAATCACTACCAAAAGTGATGGGTGACTGAATTACTACGTGTGGTGATGGGTGACTAAATCACTACTACTGGTGATGGATGACTGAATCACTACCATATGTGATCAGTGACTGAATCACCACCACTGTTAATGGGTGACTGAATCACTACCCTTAGTGATGAGTCACCAAATCACTACCATTGGTAATGGTAGACCGAATCACTACCACCGGTGATGGGTGACTAATCACTACCATCACCCTTTACGGCAAGAGAAGAGAATTCTGACTGCTCATCGCCCCTGCACCAACGATTGTTCTCTGGGTAACAATTTTGTATCCTCACTCTCATGTTTATCATTCTTCCCCTTTGATCCATGGCATCTGATCATAATGAAATGGCTGCTACTCACGATACAATAACGTTCAACTTAAACAGCGTGCTTCCACTTCATTCGCCATCCACTTGATGACCCAGTTGGTTCACTCTGCTCGATGTCCCAGTTAGTTCCCCAGGAGTGTGAAGGAGGGAGAAACTGCCGATTGGGAATAAGCTTTTTCTAAATCAATCAAATTCTCAAAAACCTATCTTTTCTTTAAGATGGAAACATTCAGATCCCATTGCGACG